CTGTAAAATGAACACATCAATCCTCATTTTGCATTTAAAGCTGTAAAGAGGCTAAATAACAGTAAATCACCAATCACACTAGACTCGGGCTCCATTAGCCACCTTAAGCAATTTCACACATTCGTTAATTCAAGAAATACCGTTTTATCATTTTGAACTTTAATACCGTGATAGGAAATAGGGTGAGGGGTCCTTACTTATTTTCGAGATCCGAATACGATTCACAGTGCGCCTGCAGGCCGTCCCAAATTTTTCCTGAATTTTTCCCGGGAAACTGAAACACACTAAGAGTACCTGCACGTGTTCCAAAAAAAAATCCAAATTAGGCCCAGGGCCTCTTTCGGCCCAAATCGCAACTCCGGCACGGCGGCTCCGCCGTGATCCGGCGACGGCGCCGCCGCTGGCGGCGGCGAGTCGCCTCGGATTGGCTGTTTTCAGCCATTTTCGGCCGAATTCGGCCACACTCGCATTGGTCCTTGTCAGAAAACAACCCTAGGGCCCTCGGGGGGCCAAAAAATTACGGAAAAACGGAGCTTACCGGCGGCGGCGCTCTCGGGTGCGGCGGCTCTCCGGCGAGGTTCGTGTTTTGGTGATTCGGCTCCGGTCAACCTGTAGAGAAAAGAATGGTGATCACGGTGATATAAAAATTGCATCGAACGGAGGCCGGGAAGGGCCTCGTCGGAGGCAAAAACCGAGAGGGGGCGCGGCGGCGCCGCTGGGCTTCGGCCGCGTATTCCGGCCGTTTGGCCGGGGTTTCGGCCTCGATTTGGCCATAGGAGGAATCAGCGGGGAAAAACGAGTCGGGGGTATGAAATTTACCTCGATCGGCGGTCGGAAATTTCCCCGGTGCGGCGGCGAGTGGCGGCGGGTGGCGGCGGTCGGCCTCTGGTTCGTCTTCTCCGGCGAGCGGCTGGCGGCTAGGGTTTGTGGTCTGGTGTGGGGGTTCTATTTATAAACCCCTTGCCTTTTGATCACAGGCCGTTCATTCGTTTTAATCTGGGCCGTTCGTTTTTGATTGAATCTGGGGCCGTCCGTGCGTTGAATCTGGGACCGTCCGATCGCGCGATTGATCTA